ATTAGCTACACATAAATAATAATAGAGAATAGTATTCTTTTTGATAATTGAGAACAATGATAAGCATGCTAAATTTACTTTCACTTTAATAAGAACAATGATTTCTTTTCTCCATTTATGTCCTTTTTCTGTTGTTTGTGCTTATGTAAAATTGTCCTTAATTTTTATTTTATTATTTTAATAATGAAGTATTAAGCTACAATTTGAGTTCTAGTGGTGGTTAAGTTATAATAATTAATTTTTTTCTAGTGTGGGCCTAGGGCCACACTGATCTCAATATAGATACGTCCCTGTTACCAGGGGTCACGGGCATTCACTGACAGTGGCCAGCTCCACGACTACCCAAGACAACTGATCAAGATTGTGTGTCTTTATATCTTGGTTTGCTTCAAACACAGAAGACGATAAATCAATCTAGTCATTATAAACAGAAGATATACAAAAGTTGATAAATCAATCTAGTCATTATATACAGAAGATATACAAAATATATACACTAAAAACGCATTAAATACATCAAATGCGCTATTTCGCATGCAGCTCTTGAATAACAATCAGACAACATCACTAAAGAAGCACTCGACAACTAAAACACCAACGCATGACCGAACTACACAAATAATACGAACAATAAACATTAACATGACTATAAAAAAACAAAAAAAAATAATAAAAAAGGGAAAAAAAAATAAATTGCTCATTTGTTGTCGTATCTGACAAATTGCAAATTATTATGAATATCTAGGCTCATTTGTTGTAACGCTTCAGGCAGTAGTCGTGCTTGTCGTCGCTGGATCACAAGTCGTTGTACACGTCGTCGTCCAGGCGGAACAATCAATCTGGAAAAGCGAATTACCGTCCTTGACCGAAATCCCTACGGCCGACCCATCACAAATTGCATCGCTCGCACAGTCAGTGCTCAACCCGGGCAGCCACCGTCCAGTCGACCCTCTGCCTTTCGAATCACTGTACCAGACGAACACCGACCACCCGCCGCTCACCGCGCAAACATCGGATGTTCAGTCCGAAAGATTGACGTTGCCCCGTCGAAGCGTGACCGTCGGCCGCCGTCAGTCCACGCGCGCTTTCAGCCAGGTGATGACTGCTTTCGACAATTAAAGGGGGGGGGGAAGTGAATCACCATTAATTATGGTATTATTAACTCTCACAGATGAAGATGATGTGGAAAAAGAGAGAGAGAGAGAGAGAGAGAGAGAGAGAGAGAGAGAGAGAGAGAGAGAGAGAGAGAGAGAGAGAGAGAGAGAGAGAGAGAGAGAGAGAGAGAGCTTGAAGGTTCAGAACAATGGCGTGAAGAAAAATGAATGTGAAAAGAGTGTTGGGTTTTGCTCTTTGTCCCACATCGATTGTGGAATGAAAGAGAGGGAGATTTTTCTCCTATATAAGAAAGTGCTACTTCTTATGTAAAATCATCCCACAGAGTTATTGTGTTAATAATTAATCTCTGGTAAAAAAATTCCTTAGGGTAAAAATTCCTTAGGGTGAGAGTTAGGGTTAACGAGTAGAAAATTCTGTGGGGTAATTTTGGGTAAGTGAGTGGTAGAAAAATTATGTAATTTTTTTTACATAGTGGATTTTCTACGGCTTGTTGCCCTGGTGGGTTTTCCCTCTTCGTTAACAGAGGGTTTTCCACGTTAAATTTTGTGTTCTCCAGTTTTTTATTTTCAGAGGATCTTGAGCGGAGTTTCGGTGTGGTTGGAATTCCCAACAAGTGGTATCAAGAGCGAGGTTAGCCTAGTTGGTATTCTGAGTATGCTCTGTGGTTGCAGTTTTGTCTGATCTTCCACATCAGAAAAGATACCAAAGAGGTCTCTTCGTGCGGTGGAGCCAGTGACGGGTGGAGCTTGTGTGCAAAAGGAGTTTTTTAGGCAGTGGGGAATAATTACTGTGTAAGTAGGTTCTGTCTAGGAGACTGGTTTTTTAAGTGGGACCATTGTGACCCCACCAGCCTTTCCTGGGAGCTTACTTAGAAGGGTAATTCTTTAGGGGGCAGGTCGCTACCCTCCCTGAGAATTTATCTGATCAGTACTATTAAAGGTTGCTGCTCGGTTTTCTGCGAAGTTAGTGTTCACTGATTCACGAAGATGTCTGGAAATAAGATATCGAATCTGGCGAGATTTGATGTGGAGAAATTCGACGAAAAAATCAACTTTGGCTTGTGGCAAGTGCAAGTGAAAGACGTGCTGATTCAGTCGGGGTTACACAAAGCTTTGAAGGGCTCGGAAATTTCCAAAGGCAGTGCTACCAGCAACACTGAAGAAAAAGCTGGTTTGAGCAAATCTGGAATGAGCGATGAAGATTGGGAGGAACTGGATTTGAGAGCGGCAAGCGCGATACGACTGTGTCTGGCCAAGAATGTTCTTGCTAATGTGCATGGAATTTCGACGGCAAAAGCATTATGGGACGAGCTTGAGAAGTTGTATCAGGCTAAAGGCGTCTCAAATCGGGTGTATCTGAAGGAGCAGTTTCACACACTGCGAATGACTGAAGGTCAAAGCATCTCAGACCACTTAAGCGTTCTCAATGGGATCGTCTCGGAGCTGGAATCTATTGGAGTGAAGATTGATGATGAGGATCAGGCGTTGAGACTCATCTGGTCTCTTCCAACTTCTTATGAACACATGAAGCCGATCTTGATTCATGGGAAGGAGAAAATTATATTTTTTGAAGTCACTGGTAAACTTCTTGCGGAAGAGAGAAGGCTAGACGGTGGACGAAACAATTCACCGGAAGGTCAAGACATGCTCGTCGGTGACGGAAAGAAGAGGAACTCTAGGAAGAAGCAAGTTGTGATTTGCTGGACATGTGGACAATCTGGGCACGTGAAAAGAAATTGTCCGAAAGGAGGAGCAGGTTCGGCAAAAGGCTCCAAGTCGGTAAGTGGAGATACCGAAGAAGCTAATTTTGTCTCTCTCTCCATGGATGAGTTTTGCTAAGAGAGAAAGGGGAGTCCTTATGGCATGTCGCTAAGTGTCATGAAAGAGGACGTGTTAAAATTAGCGGGTCCACAGTTTACACACGGGCATTGGTTTGGCGGTGATGCAAGGTGTGTGGTGGAAAAAGCGTGTCGAGGGCTGATGAACTTCCAGGAAAGCCAAACGTGGAAGTTGCACCATAGATTTCAGCAAGGTTATTTCGACATGGGCCGAAGAAATGCTTGGATGCGAGTCCGAGTGGATATGCTTTTATGGTGGAGCATGATGGCGAAAGCTATGAAAAATTTCATCAAAGTGAATAGTGGCTGTCAGATGGGCCAAAATCGCAAGGTGGAGTTTGTTGGGTTTTGCTCTTTGTCCCACATCGATTGAGGAATGAAAGAGAGGGAGATTTTTCTCCTATATAAGAAAGTGCTACTTCTTATGTAAAATCATCCACAGAGTTATTGTGTTAACAATTAATCTCTGGTAAAAAAATTCCTTAGGGTAAAAATTCCTTAGGGTGAGAGTTAGGGTTAACGAGTAGAAAATTCTGTGGGGTAATTTTGGGTAAGTGAGTGGTAGAAAAATTATGTAATTTTTTTTTACATAGTGGATTTTCTACGGCCTTGTTACCCTGGTGGTTTTTTCCTCTTCGTTAACAGAGGGTTTTCCACGTTAAATTTTGTGTTCTCCAGTTTTTTATTTTCAGAGAATCTTGGGCGGAGTTTCGGTGTGGTTGGAATTCCCAACAAAGAGATGACGTGTGAGAAGATATTAATCGCAACAACATCGGCCATTACCCAGTAGAACATACCTTATCAAAATTATTTTTTTTTTTAAAGAAAAGGTAATCTAGTAAATCCTTTAGATGTGCAAATATTTAGGATAAATTTTCCAATTTTGCTTAGAAAATAATAGTTTGTATATATGTAATAAAGATAGTTTTGTGTCGTTCAAGGAGTAATTTCTCTAAATATATCCGTTCAAAAGGGGTTTATTTGGTTAACTAGAGTTCATTTAGAAAATGTGGTATGATTAGTTGTTATTGAATTTAATTTGAATTAATTTAGCCAGCCACACTATGGAATTTAAGTATAATGATGTTAAATTAAAGTTGAGTTAGATTTTAAATATAGATTGAATATGAATATTGAATTGATTTGTATGCAAAATTGCAAACACACCTAAGTTTCCTTGATTAAGAGGAAATTTCATCCTATTCTACATACCAATTGAGGCGTTTGTGGTAAATTTATTCTGCTTATTGCTTGCAAATATTCTGCTTATAATAATAGGCAATACAAAATCAATTGTTGCATATATTTATCTACTAACATCAAAAGAGTTGCTGTCAACTAATAAGGGTTGGCTCAAGTTGTAACCAGTTTGACGTCGCTTAAGCAAGGTCTCTAATTCGAGTCATTGTAGATGCAGAAAACCCTTGTTGAGAGACTCACCCACTACTGTAAGGTGTGCGACCCGTGTCGACCAAGTCATAGCTCCGAATACCATGACTGACTTAAAAAAAAGAAAGTAATTGCAGGCATGCAAATATATACTGTCCCCTTATAGTAGGAAAAAAAAAA